TTTTTCATCTAGTTATGTACAGTTTATCGATTAATGAGTAGTAACCAATGTCCTATTGGCTTTATCCTTTGCCATTGATTAAAATCCTATTTGAAATAACAATCTTCGTCAAGACGACATGAACTGTGTCAAATTAAATAAAAAACTAAGATGAGTAGTCTATTCCTGACTTCTTTGATCTGCCCGGTAATACTATGATTTATGGACAAAGTTGTGGCGACGCTAAAGTGACCGTGTGTCTGCCTAATAAGTAGAACCAGATAAGCTTTTGTAATTATGATTTACAGTTAGTGGTTAAGGTTAAGAACTTGATTTAAGTTTTTCCTTACGAATTGAACTTCAGCTGTAATGCTAAAACTCTCTTTAACCAAATGGCTGGATGAATTTCGCGCTAAAATCCAAGACCTATTATCCTAAACCTGATTGGTTCATCCATAACGTATAGTCTCACAAAACTAGCCCATAATAATTTAGATAATATTTAGGTAACTTTTATTATGTAATCATAGTGTAACTAAAAAGATGAATAGTGGCTAGAAGTGGAATTCAGGACGCCCGTTTCGTCTTATTTGGGACTCGTCAGCTAGATATTCATTGTGTGACACGAACCCAGTACCATTTACTTCAAACGCCATCGCGTAGTGTATTCTTTAGTCTTGCTCTTTTGCTTTTCTTTTTGGGACTCCTCCGAGTTAGGGATTGCCTCATGATGTAGTCCGATCATTTCCGCAATAAATGTTCTATCCACTTCTATCGTGTTTACTAAAGTTCCATTTCAGTTAGAAGCTGGTTTGTTCTCTTCTATAATGGGTTACTGCTGATGGTATCCGAACAAACCAGCTTCTAACTGAAATGGAACTTTAGTAAACACGATAGAAGTGGATAGAACATTTATTGCGGAAATGAGGCAAGCCCTAACTTGGAGTCCCGAAAAGAAAAAAAAGAGGAAGACTAAAGAATACACTACGTCTAGAATTCGAGGTAGACGTCAAAAAAATGAATAGCAACTGGAAATAATAGGAAATGATTGCCCAGTACAGAGTTGGATGGAGAATGCGGTCATGGAAAATTTTTTGTTTCAGATAAATAAGTCAAATGTGAAAGGGAAAATCCCGGAATATCAAACTAGAAATCGTAGAGTTAAGAAGCTTTATGATGTTCAATCCAGTAAGCTGAGTGATTTTATTCTAAAATTTCATCATACCCGTTTCTTGACTGAAAATAAAAAGCCGAATAAGACTGATAGGTCCTGGGTACAGATCCCGCGGGGCGGGATCTTGGATGCGCACCAGTCCTATACTAAGACAAAACGACCTTCCAGGGCTTCTAGACTTTTCAAGGTGGTCTTAATTGACCCACGAACTCAACTAATTTATGAATGATTATAGAAAAATAGGTTTTTTATGAAAAGAAAGAAAGGAAAAAAAATCGAAAATGGTAACAGTCGTTAGAAATATCATCCAAACATTTAGAATGTTATATAAATGATAAAAATATGTAATTTAACGTGTAATGTACAAGATCGACACAATATATATTGTGATGTGTGCTACTGATGTTGACGGATTCAAGTAGTATGTATGATCAATCGAAAGTGGGATACCTGGAAAGAAAAGAGTTAGAAACCAGTAGGTCCTAGATTCGAGTCTCGCGAGGCGGGGTCGTGGATGTGCACTGCTGAGGAGTCCCATACTAGGACGAAACGGCCGTCCAGTGCTTCCAGGTTTTTCATAGTGGTCTAGCTTCAATTGACTTATGATCTTAACCATTGGAATTACTATAATATCCACAAAACCCATCTGATATATAATAAGAGTTTTATTCAATATGTATATGATACATTATAAGCCTAGTCAATATCTGTTACGAGTTACATAATCATTATGTAATCATATAATTAAAGATTAAATTAATATTATACTTCTAACATGGTATATAAACATTCATGTTCATTTATCATTTCATAAGGTTGTAAGTAGAATGAATATTTATCATTGATCAATTAGTGAGTAGTAACTATGGATTTAATGTCTATTAGAGTTGATCGGATACAATTTATCAAGTTGTAATGTAAACAATTGTTAGAATGATTCGATATAGATTGGAGTAGGCGGAGATTTTAAGTGGTTGGAGGTGGATGAAGATAAATCCTACTTGTATTAGGTTTAATGCTAGTTGAGTGGTTGTAATTTTAAGGTAATTGATTCTTTCTGTTAGCTCAAAACCGATATCACGTAGTTTTACAATATTAGACGCTATAATTGTGCTATATATGTCACAATTATCTTCCTGTAAGACTGATTTATCCGCAATTAATTGATCACTGATTGGTATTCAGTGTGCCTTGATTCATTTTTCACTAATAGATTTTGCGATTTTTGACTTCATGTGCAGTATTGTATTTATAAAGTAAAGATGGTCAAAAGGAAACCCTGATTGACCAAGGTTTTGTGCTAGCTCAATAGTTGAAATCATGAGTCAAGTGAAGCTAGATCACCATGGAAACATGGAAGCAGTGGACGACTGTTTCGTCCTATTGTGGTACTCCTCAACATTGCGCAACCATGACCCCTCCTTGTGGGATTTGAACCCGGGACCTATCAGTCCCGCGCATGAGCGCTTAACCACTAGATTACTGACACGGCCGTCATCTAACGGTGTTAATGTCTAACTTCAATTAATCCACGAAATTGAGCGACACATCTACCATTGTCATCAGTGAGTTACTACCTCACAACAGACTCAGTCGGACTCCACTGCTCACTACTTTCTTTATCTCAAAAAGTAGATTCCTTCTTAATGACTATCAGAAGTCATCTCTTTTTACAAAATATGAAACAATGTCTTCAAACCTGAGTGAGACTTTAATTTATGAACGAACCAATCATATATTCAAGATAACAGATATTAGATTTTGGCATGAAAGTCATTTCCTCATTTGGCTAAATACCATTTTAGCATTACAGATGATGTCATCTCGTAATGTAAACCCTTAATCTAATTTCCTAACCTTAACATTCAACCATAAATCATAATGGTAATTTCTCACACTACTCTATAACCCTTTATTTAACCCTTTATCACTGATCATAACCAGTGTTACAGATCATATGGCCCAACATGGTGTCTTACTTTGTTATCTGGCTTTCATTGTTTGTTTAATCAAAGCTAATATATAATGTAAGTAGGTTATACTGTATAACAGCTCATTGTGAAATTCAGGATACAAATTGTTGATTATCATTGACGCGTGATATTCACCTCTGATAACTGTTACACTGATAACCAGCTATCAGTTTCTTGTGATAGATGGTAAACCAAATGATAAGATCAATCGATGGTAATCAGAAGTGACCTGAAAGACAATTGCACATTATTGATTAAGGAATGAATTAATTTCTTACATAGGTAGCCTAATATACTTTCTTGTTCACTGTTATGTTCACGCGGTTTGCGTATACAGTAGTTCGTGTATCAATATCAGTTATTGGACATCGTCTGTCATAACAAGTTGTTCCAAAGTTTTGACAATATTCATTGAAGTTTACAATTTCCCCTTTTAAATATTTAGATCTGTATTTAATCAGAGTGAATGAATTCATTGCCAATCATACTAAAACTAACTATTAACTCATGCTAATCTATTCTTGGTATAGATAAAACATGAAAAGAACAATTCTGAATATGAATAATAGAAAATTATCTAGAATGATTACAATGACAATGTTCTATTTGTTATTGTGTTTGGAATAAATACATTACCTTCATGGTAATGTTATAATTGAAGTATAAATGAAACTGTTGAAGTACATCATTTTCGAGAGGGAGAAAGAGAAAGAAACAAACAAACAAAGAAGAATATGGCGACTGATTATATCTGTAGTTGTCAGGGAGAGTGAGACACAGAAAGAGAGAGAGAGAGCGAGAGAGATGGGGAGAAAGGATTTGACAATTGTTTTGTTTCAATGTAATACATTTCATTTATGTTTATTTTATAATCTTGTGAATAGATTTAAACATATTCGTGTTATCAACAGATAACTAAGAGGATCTTAAATTCACATGATTTTATTTGTTTGAATCATTCCATTAATGTTTAAGAGACTGAAATTGATCAGTCACTTATTGACATCTATGCATATATGCAAGATTCAGTAGCTGAATGGATAACGTCATGACGTTTGAAGTGAACGGTATTGAGTTCGAGTTCCAGAGTGAACATCAATTCTGTGATGCAGATACATCCAGCTGATGAGTGCCAAATAGGACCAAGTGATACACGTCCTAGATTCCACTACTAGTCATTATCCATCTTTGTATAGAAGAGAATCTTAGTTTACTTAATATCTTGTTAATAAATGATAGTTACATAAGGTCAAGATAATCGCGCTTTAACCGGGATCGTGGATATGGAGGATTCATCTAAGGGAGTTAGAAAACCCCGATTTCAAACTAATGGTGCACATAGGATCCAGGATCCTAAACAACTGCATCTCCTTACGTTGCTCCACTGGCTTGTGGACTAGACCTTTCGGTCGAAGGCTCCAGGTGTGGCCCCTTATGACAACCACCTACTTCGTTTTGGGCACCTGGACAGTATCCCGGCTGTTACACAAATCGAGTGATTTATGTAGCGCATACCTGTTTGGTGCCCCTTTGTAACAATATGTATATGTTCACATGTATAATAGTAATAATAATAATAATAAAGAAATTGAATTAATGGTATGAGATTTTTGTTGTTGCTACCAAAGTCAATATTTTCAGTTGAATTTTTTGTCATTTTCTTTCTCAAAGAAAATGAATTTTAGAAGAAAAAAATATAAAAGAGAAAGAAATAAGATAAAAGAGATAATCGATTGATTAGTTATGATCTGATAATGTATATATGTTAATCTATAAAGAAATGAAGAATAAAATGTAATTTCAAGGGTGGTTACTGTCCTCTTTTCCTCTTCTGAATGCTCAAATCAATTAATTGACATAATATACTTATTGGATTAGATGAACAGATTGTTTGTACATGATGATGATGATGATGATGATGATGATGATGATGATGATGATGATGATGATGATGATGATGATGATGATGATGATGATGATGATGATGATGATGATGATGATGATGATGATGATGATGATGATGATGATGATGATGATGATGATGATGATGATGATGATGATGATGATGATGATGATGATGATGATGATGATGATGATGATGATGATGATGATGATGATGATGATGATGATGATGATGATGATGATGATGATGATGATGATGATGATGATGATGATGATGATGATGATGATGATGATGATGATGATGATGATGATGATGATGATGATGATGACAATATTTCCTTTGTGACTTTTATCATCCATTAAATAGTGTCATTTCATTTTGGTAAACTCACATCTTAAATCACATAGTTCGCTGAGTATTTCTTCATATACAACAGGAAATGAATAATATATCTTACAATTTATTTCTAATAACAATACTTCAATCATAGTATTAAGTATATTAGTACAGGGTTATGTAGGTTGCAGAAGCCGTGACCATTGGAGTTCAAACCTGTCAGTTGTGAAGCAGTGTTCGCGTATGAGATCTAAATTCCTGAGTTCCAGTCCTACGTTGAGGAGTCACGTACTAGTACTGACTAGTCGTTTATAGTTTCAATGGTGGTCTTATATTGATTAGTTCATGATCTCTATTAAGGATATTTTGCATATATTTCTCTTGAGAACATAAAATTCAACTTTAATCATTTTCATACATTACAAATACGTATTTTATAATCTAAATGTACTCATATACGTAAGTCTCTCTTGACAACCTATGTATATATCTGAGAGGTTATACACATTAATTCAGTCTTACAGTTGTCAGGTAGAAGAAATTCATCTTTACTGATTAATATGTATCCGTGATTCAGATCTTTGTAAGATAAAAAGAAAAGGAGCACTATAGGTGAAAAGAAATTTTCCCGATTTCATAAATAGAGTTATGTAACAATCAACAAATAGACTTATTTTAACTGATGACAAAAAAGATTACAGTTGAATTATATCCATTTGTATTAATAACAACCACAACCACAAATAAAAAGAATAAGAGTGTGAAATATTTGAATAGGTACACGTGAAAACCCTGGAAGCACTTTTTTACGGCCGTTTCGTCCTAGTATGGGACTCCTCAGTAGTGCGCGTTTATGATCCTGCATGAGGGATCCAAAACTATGATCTATAACCTTTAACGTAAACGCTTAACCTCTAGACAACTGAACTGGCATCCAGTGGTCGATTGAACGAGATTTATGGCGACCGGCTCAGTGGTCTAGAGGTTAAGAAACCGTGATTATAATTAGTCATATTTCTATAAAGAACAGTCGATGATAACTACTAACTTTATCATTATTCTCTGGAGTATGATACGATAATTTGATGACATAGAATTAGGATGGTCACATTTACCTATCTGATATTATCCACCTGACTGTTATATTCATATACAGAAACATATTGTATTTTCAAAACGAAGATTTTCATCCAGAAGTAATTTTGTTCTTTAGAGTTCAATCAACCAGAAGGTAACTAATGATGAAACTAATTTGATCAAAATTTATAGATCTTCGTTATATGTTAACTGATATTCATGAATATGACAGATGTGAATGAAATAAAGATGCGAGACTTCTTAGCCAACACCTATAAACAATCACCAATCTCCATTGTATTACATCAATTAAACTAGTTGTCATATTTAAACTTGGTTGGTTAAATTCAGCGAAACTATTGAGGTCTAGAGAAACGCAATATCACTGGGTGGTGATCAATATCATACGTGCAAACCGAATGTTATCGACCATGTTGTAATGTGGCCATCAGTTTATGTGACTCGACACTGAGTGCACTATATATTGAGATTAGATGGTGGTTGGAGGTAGTCCACAGGAAACTCTGGACCCGGGTTTCGTGCTATTTGGCACTCGTCAGTAAGGTGTACCTGTAATCTTGAAGGAAATTAGTGAACGTAATGTCAAATCACCCAGATTAGTGGCTACATTGTAATTTGGTCGATAGGATTCGATTTACACTAAGAAGGACCTGATAGAACAGTCATTGATTACCACTCAGTGATCAGTCAATTGTAAATACAAAACTAAGTATTATACCTTACTTCACGAACTGATTTCAATTCGACAATCGACAAACAATCAATAAGCACTAGACAACTATTTTGTCTTAACATATGACTTATCGGTATTGCACATACATGACTCCATTGGGGATTAAAATCGGGACATTTGGGTTTCGTAGTAACCATGTTATGTAAACAAAGAGAATATATAATTAGAATCTAAACATTCAAAATTTTAAAGAAATCACCAGCTTAGAACTTGCTGCTGTTAAATCAAGTATACTATACAGTTTCAGTCTACAAATCCTTATCCATAGTGAATACTCTTCTTACTATTAACAATGTAAGTGATAATTAACTCATTCACTAAGCCTCCAAATGTCCTGGTACGGCCGAGAGTGGGGAGAGTTCGCTCTCTCTCTAGAAATGCTCTCACATGGCCACACGTATATAGCCTCTACCAGGGAAGTCCTACTCACTGCCTTCTCGTGACTGAGGTGTTGTTTACGAAAATAAAAGGACGAAAAGCGAATGTCCGGCGCTTTAACCGGGTCGTTGGACACGGAGAGTCCACCTAGGGGAGTTTGAAAACCCTGATTTCAAAACAATGGTGCACATGGGCTCCACTATCCTGCGGGAACGAATTACGTATGAACCAATTGTTGGTCTCCGGCTTCCATGGGACTGCATCTCCTTACGATGCTTCACTGCCTTGTGGATCAGATTTTCAGGTCGAAGGCTCGGGGTGTAGCCCCCTGGGAAAACCACTTTCTTCGGTTTGGGCACCCGGGCAGTATCACAGCCCTCACACATATCGAATGAAATTTGTGTGGCGCATATGTATTTGGTGCCTCTTTGTACCGATATCTATGTGTTGAAATAAAATAAAATACATGTATGAAGGTTAATAATATCATCGAGTTCCTCAAATCTAATTGAATGAATCCAAATGACTAAACATCAACATTTTAACCACTAAGTTACCAATCATTGCTAACCTAAATCATATACTTTCAGAGAAATAGAATAATATGATAAGTCTAATTTTCAATTATTCTCTTTCATTGTACAGCCGTTTCGTCCTATTGTGGGACTCCTCAGCAGTGTGCATACACGATCCAGCCTCCTGAGATTCGAATCTAGGACCTAATAATGTCGCACTCGAGCGCTTCAATTAACTCATGATCTCAACCATTCAAATTACTATCATATCCATAAAACCCCTTGTGATATTCTCTTTCATATAAGAAATATGATCATATGGTTCTTTACAATAAATGTTACATTCTATTAACTTCATCAAATAACGAATGACATATTCATGTGATACCCTATCCCTCTCTATCATCTATCCCCCTCTGTTTATATATATATACAACGAATAATGAAATGTTACTTTAACTTCATATATATTACTGTTACATTGTTATCAAATTGTTTTACTAATCATTATCAATAATGACCAATTGTTATGTAATTGATTCAATTAACAAGGATATTCTTTATTGTCATTTATGCATCAGTTCACAAATATGAATGATAATTCTAATGATTTATTACATAGAAAAGAAAACAACAACAGAATATATCATGTATGTTACTGTCAACAAATTCACTTATATATATATGTATATATTTGATATCAGATGTGTTTTGTGGATATTATAATAATTTCAGTGGTTATGATCATGAGTCAGTTGAAGCCAGACCATCATGGAAAACGTGGAAGCACTGAACGGCCGTTTCGTCCTATTGTTAGACTCCTCAGCAGTACGCATCCAATACCTTAGATAAAAACCAATTTAATCAACATACTGGAAATATGATGTAACTTTTCCAAAGTAACAATCATATGCTAACGAGTGACTAGATTCAAAAATGTAACTCTTGGAGTTCTAGGAAGAAGTTGTAATTAGTGAAGTCCAATCTATATCAAATGTGAGATGGACATTCATCTCAGGCATTGGATAAAGGGTTGAGGTATGATCATGGATTAGATATTAACGTTGTTTGAGCGTATGATCGAAGGTCCTAGGTTCGAACCCTGCATGTGGGATCTTGGATACTGAAGAGACTTATGCTAAAACGAAGCAATCATCCAGTGCTTTCAAGTTTTCTATGATTGTTTAGTTTAGATCGGTTGTTAGTGTTAAAGATTGTAATTTTTATAGTTTTGTTTAAGCATATATGTGTGTTGTACGGAATGCCTCTATTCCAGTCCCAGTGTAGAATATTAATATAGAGGTACTGATACATCTATCAAAAGAATCACAAACAGGATGAAACAGGAATATTAAATTGCGCTACAATTTGTCATTAACATGTAATCAAAGATTTGAGGTTCTTTCTTTATGAAAGTGAATGTGTCTGTGTTAAATTGGTTAAGTTAATGAAATTTAGGAGTATTGTGTTAGTAGAGATAATGATATATAAATGAATTTTGTTAGGCTATTATCATCCACGTCTTTGCTTTGTAAGTTGTCGAATACATCGACAACTTCACTTGGAAGTCTGATCAGCCCTAATGGGTTGGTGTTTGACGAAATTTCTACATGGATTCAGAAAGCTCGTTTGACTTTTGTCAACATATATCACCTACAGCGAAGATGAGACATCCATCTCTCAATTAAAGGATGAGTATACTGTTCAGCAGTTCGTTGTGTTCTTCTTTATGACTCGAATAAACTTAGGGTTAGGAGTGAAAGTATGAATCTAGGACCAGAGATTTTGATGGAGACTACTTGGTTGAGGTCTGCGTGACTATCGTAACCAATGGTTGGAGACTCTGGATGATATGGTTCAGAATCGATCACAATGGCTTTGTCTTTGCTTAAACTATGAGATTAAAATTAATTTATCTCTTTCTTCCTGTACTATATCCTTATATGCAATCATTCTTTTATATATTACCATCATTGATTTAACTACTTTTATGAATCCGGTGTTCATCTTGTTGCACTAATGAGTGAGATATGGCAACTTGGACCGATGCGTATACGTGACTGGTTCTACGTTGTAGCTCACTGACTGACTTTGCTTTATTATAAACCGTTTTCTCTTCTATGTGAGACTAAAATATACACTTTTATTAGACTATATCTCCGACTGACTTTAGAAATAATTATAACTGAATAGTTGTCGTTTTCAAGGTATATGATCCCTCGTTATTATACTCATGATTAATGTTATTGATATTTAGTAATCTCATATGTACTAAACATAAAAATACCTAATCAT